CTCGGTGCCGTCTCTGCTCGCTTTCTGTGCGTGGAGGAGAAGGGGTGCAGGGGGCTGTGCTGGGCAGAGGGACTGCCTGGAGGGTGATTTATAGGTGTCTGAAATTCCCTGTGCTGGCAGGGAGGAGAGGGAAGGAAAGGCCTGACCCCCCCTGATATGCCCGTGGAGGCGAGTATGAGCGAGGTGGGCTCAGGATGCCGCCTGTGATGTACCGAGAGCCTTTGAGAGGGTCAGTCTCGCCACAAGCAGCGGCTGTTTGGTTTTTGGCCTCAGGACGTGCCCCCAGCCCAGCGCACAGGGGCTAGCTCCCTCTCTGCAGCGGGGTGCTTTCCTCCGCAGGGCTCGTTGTTCAGCCTTCTCGTTAACCTCTTCTGCCATGGCTGGCAGCGCACGTAGGCTTCGCGTGACTCAAACTCGCTGGCAGCAGCTTGCCAGCCTCACCAAAGTGTGGGGAGGGGAGAGGGAAGGGTCCTTGAAGTCTCTCCCACTGTGACCCAGGGAGGAAAGAAAACCTCTTTAAAATGCTGCCACGGGGAGTTGGGAAGGGTGAGGATGCTGCTGGCGTGTCCCAGCTCGGTCTCAGTCGAGCAGCGATTTAGAAGATGCTGTCTCACCGAGGACAGTTACCATAAATGATTCCCATGCTCAGCAAGGCTGATGAGCTCAGCGTCCCAGTAGTCATCAGACAATGGGATGAACTGGGCTCGGGGAGCACCAAGAGGAGAGTTTCTCCAGATGCAAGTATTTAGAAATAACATTCCCAGCTGTGCTAAAGGCGTTCACGGAGCTTCTGCACTTTCCATCATGAAACTCCACCATCCCGATCCCTACGGCATCACCGAGGAGTGGCCGCTGCAGGCAGCTGCCTGGCTCTCAGGCGTGCGGTGGAGAGGGCTGGCAGGGAACCGGGGGTTTTCTGTGCACTGGCAGCCGGTGAGTCTCACTGGAACAGAAACCTGCTAGCCCCCAAAGGGGAAAAAATGAGTCTAGCCTGCTGTGCAAATGCCTTGGGCTCAAGGTGATCTGGTAGGCAGCTGTATTGCTGAATTCGCTTTCCAGTGTGAATGGGTAAGGGCCTGTTTCCAGGGACTGCAAGGGTCCATCTGGGATGGGCTTGGCTTCCCAGGGACGTGAGTATCTGCTTGGGAATTGTCACTTCAGCAGACTGTCGGGGAGGGG